ATAGTTACTTATATTGGATCTAGAGGATTGTTGAGGATTTATAATCCAAGGACCAACACTTATACAGATGTGGCAGAGATGGGGTCCCGTGTTGGAATTGGTTTGTACACGGGAAACCTATTGAGCATAGCAAATGATGCCACTTAATGAGGTGAGTATTGCAATTGCCTGCTCTTCTAATATATCCAGTTCAGGCAGATATCTTTGTCTCGATACATTGGCAAAAGGCTGCTGGATTCTAGCTTGTTATGTGCTTCATTCTGTAATTTTTACCTTGTAAACAACATTTAAGCAACGCTATGTATGATGTGGTAAAAATGAGTAATGCTAGATGACTTGAGAATTTGAGTTCGCATCAACTGTCCTCCATCATGGGTTATATAATGTACTTAGTTCGATTTAGCTAAATGCATGGGGAAAATGTCATGGCAACAATTTCTTTTGAATATCCATGCAAAACTTGTTCTGAATACTGCCACAGCAAAAAGGGAATATAATGGAAGAGTTTCTCTAGTCTTATCATGCTGCATAAGAATACTACAAAAAAAACTCTAGAATGTAGTGCAAAATATAAAAATGGTATGGAACAGAAATCTTGTTCAGGAAAAATCAAACTTCTAAAACCCATACAGTATAGGAGAATGTTATGATTCACTGTCACATAGTAGATATCGAGTAATCTTGAACTTTTTGGTTTTTACAATGTAGTCACTTTGCTAATTGATTAGTCTTAATGAGCAATCAATCTCATGACAAGTGGAAAACGTTCTGCAAAAATGTCCTGAGAACAATGCCTTTTAAAATGCAGCCATTTTATTACTACTTGATTTTATCTGAATGAGCCAACAATCTGATAACAAGTGGAGAAGAGTCCGCACAAATCACCTGACACATTACCACTCACTTTTTACAGCTAAATACTGATCGCCTGAGTTTCTCCATGAAAAATAAATGTATAAAATGCAGCATCAGTATAACAAGGTACAAACATCATTATCAACAATTATTGTGCCTAGTTAATTGGAAACACCGTATAGGAAATAATAGCACAATCACCCAAATATGCCTGTACTTCTTTTTTGAGCTAAAGTGGATACTGAGGACATTGATGTCACTGGATTACTTTCTTTTAACCTGTCTGGCAACACTATTTTGCTCCTTTTCTTCTGCATATTTTGAAACATTTTGACGCTATCTCTAGCAAAGACAGTTCCATCATTTTTTTAACCTTGGTGTATCTGTTGCAATTTTCACCTAAAATTTGCAGGAAGCAGTTGTTTGCTGGAGGGAGAAGGTGAAAACTTAATCCTGAAAGCTGAAGCTATATGAAGGAATGGAGACAGATTCATGCTGTGCTTTTTGAGAAGTTCAGGGCTCATCTCTGAAGAAGACAGAAAACTTGATTCCACCTGCTGGATCGTATACTCTTACTCTTACATGGTTTGAACTCGTTACGCATATATTGCTATCCTTCCATGATCAGAAATAGTAGTTGATATGAATTACAGAATGTGTATTGCTTGTCCACTAGAAACCTGAGATTGTTGAGCAACATTGATATCACTGTGAATTTGTGATGGACAGTCATCAAGCAACAAATCAGCATAAGCATCAACATAACCTAAATTTCAGCGAAACGAACAGGGCCTAGCATAAAGCTCTTTCGCCAGTCCTAGCAAGTAGCAAGTAGCAAGATAGCTGCTCAGTGATCCCTGAACTATAGCGGATTTTTTTTTTTTTTAATTTTGGAGCCGGCTTCCGCTCCTTTGTTGCCAGGTAGAACATAGGGGACGGTACCTGTACGGCTGTACCCTGCTCGCTGCGATGCTTTGACGCATGGAACTGGATATGAATATTATTGCTTACCATATTTTTTGTTTGATATGGATATCAGGATATGTATTCAAATATTCTCAGATACTAATACAAAAATGGATAGTTTGAATACAGATTTGCATTCGGATATACATTAGCCTTATTATAATAAATAAATTGGATGGACCCTAGGTCATAAACATCGATCAATAATTTTTGAATTTTAGAGAAACAAAATCATATGATGAGACACCGAAATAAGTATATTATATTCGCACATCGATAAACAATAATAAACGTTGTTAGTCATGCTATCTTCATATTAATTATAATTAAAAAATAATATTAACTATATTAATTAGAAACCAATAATCACATAATTATATGTCCATTCATTCTAAATTATAAAACATTTTAAATTTCTTATATATATATTATTTTTACTATGTATCTAGACATAGTGTATATCAAAACGGACTTGCTAGCGCATGAACGTCCGATCAAGGGAGCGAACAAGCACCTAGCGCGTCGGGCTCGTGAGGAAGCGCACCAGTAGTGGTCCTGCTCCGCCCCGACGTCACCCACGCCGCCCCGGACATCGTTAGCGACTGCTGGCCGCTTCCCACGCGCATCCCATGTGCAGCACCCGATCTACTTTTGATACATCAAGATGTAACAGTTGCAACATACAAAAGAAAACGGATGAAAAACTTGAAACAAGCGATTGAAACACTTGTGAAAACGCTTAAAAACTATTTGAAAATCATTGCAAACATATGCAACATCTAGACGAAACACTTGCAAACATACGTATGAAACACCTGAAAACACTTGAAACATATGCTTGCAACATTCATGTATATACAACATCTAGACATACTTTTGTAACATCGATAAAACACTTGCAACATTCATCTGGAATAGAAGAAACATTTAGAACATACACTTGAAACATATGTGTATAGCCATTACAACATGTGGAACATCCCCATCTACTTTTGCAACATCGATAAACAACATTTGCAACATACCTTGAAAACATATGAAACACTTGAAACATACTGTTGCAACATGCGCTTTCAGCGTAGCATCTGCTTCGTTGCTTGGACGAATAGAGGCTCATCGACGCGGATCTCGACGCCGGCATGGAGCTCGAAGGCGCGGAGGTCGCCGTTGTGGAGCTCGACGGCGGCACGGACCTCGGTAGGGGCAAGGGCAGGCAGATTGAGCACAACCGCGACGGGAGGCGCGAGTCCGGGAGCGAGCTAGTGAGCGCCTAGCGCATCGGGCTCGCCGTGCGCGGCGCGGGTGGGTAGCGGCGCGGGCGAGGACAGGTCCATCTCGCGAGCAGAGCGAGCGGGCAAGGGCAGCGTGGGCGAGTGCTGGGTCCGTCCGGACGCCCTATAAGGAGGGTTTCCGATATCAAAATGCATAACAAAAGCTATGTATCTAAAAAATAAAAAACATCTTATAATTTGGAACGAAGGAGTAGATATTAGTAATATTATAAAATTAATACTAATAATTATTAGACACAGGAATAACTTTTAGATTGTTTTAGCCAGTACTATATTCTTTAGAGACATGGATGTTATTAGATATTTTCGAATAAATGGACTCCGATTAGTAAGCACGTCTTTTAGCAAATTTTGTCATGAACCAGAGTCTCTAACAACCAACTAGATTTTTTGGTGTCTGCTGGCAACACCACATCACTTTCAATGTACCGTTGCAGGTTTCATTTCAACAAAGCTAAGTCTCAAGAGCCGGAGCAGGTTCCAGAGGGGTTAAAGCCCTGTCAATCAGAGCTGTTTCAGATGAGAAATCAGTTCCGACGTGGAGATCACCAAACTGCATGTTTTCCATAGCATGGGAAACCATTTGCCAGCTATTAACAACTTAGATGACTACAATTGCACTTTGGGCAGAACTCTGTGTACACCAAAAAATGTTCAACGAGTAAAGGTTGATAAACCGGCTAATGATGTTTTGTTGTGAGAGAAAAACACTGTACCATGGCTGATAAGTTCAAGCGAACAGGACGATACTCCCCCAGTTTTTTTTACATGTCACATTAGGTTTGTCATAAATCAAACATTACAAATTTTGATCATCCGTTTGAAAAATCCTATATAGCTTTACAACATATGGATTATATATTGTGAAAGTGTTCTTCGTAGTGAATCTAAAAACATAAATCTTATATCATAAACCTATATATTTTTAGAAAATCGATGATCAAAGATAAAAATGTTTGACTTAGGACAGACTTAATATGACATGTAAATAAAAACAGATGGAGTAACATAGAAGAGTGGAAACAAAATGCCAAAGCCAAACATATAAAATGGCACTTGCTACAAACAATGGAAAGAGGTGTATTCCCTGTTCTAAAGCTTTCAAGAAAACCAGCGACTTCAAAACAACTCCATTACTATGCAATCAAACTATTAGGATGAATTATGGATCATAGCATCCACATGTCCTCAATCCTCATGCATCCATTTTGCTGAAAAGAAAAATCCACATGCATACATTTGAGCCAAGTAAAAGATTTCATTATCACTTACGTGCCTTGTTGCAAACTTTCTAAACCTCACAGAACAGTAAACATTACACCTACTCAATCCAGCAGAATATATGAAACATGGGGTAAAAGACCAACATTAGAAGGAAAAAAATAATTCTTTGGCCATACATCACCAACTGACATGCTGAAACTGAAAAGGGGATGTGCATAGTCTCTATCACCCTTGATAACAATGATCAGAAACACTACTAACATCTTAAGCGGAAGAAGCTTCAAAGGCTAAACTTTACTCCCTGACCGACATCGGTACTAGTATATCACTTCCTTCCCACCAGTAAATGAGAAGTACCTATAATGTAAACAGGAAAGAACACATTTATTCATACAGATGCATCTTGGGGAAAAGAGAGAAATAAAGAGTATATAAGAATACTGACATCATTAGTTCTCAACATTTCAAGCTCAACAGGTTTCCTGTATACAAACTAATTGAAAAGCAGTGCTCCAGCTCCACAACATTTGTGAAAGTGTTCCTTCTTGGGTTCTAAATCTGTAGTAAATAGTAATTCCTTGTCTTCTATATATATGACTACCCTCTGGTCATCTAGGACCAACACAGGATGCACATAGGAAAGCTTGTCATATTGTTCAAATGTTATGCTATACCGCTTGACCCAGTCACCCTTTGCAAGTCTGTCGAAATCCATATGTCCATACTAGGGACTAGGCCATACAAGCACACAACAGCCAAAGAGCCATTCAGGTCAGCCAAGGTAAGCCAGCCAGGAAGCACCTGAAAAGCATTACCAAGAAAGCTGATATTGGGTCCCAAGATAGTCCCCCATTCCTCTGTCTCAAGGTCAAATGTAATTATCATGTCTTCCCTGTTAACTCTCCTAGAGAAGGTCAGCTCATAGAAGGCATCCCAAGACAAAAGGTAGGCAACCCCATCAATGGCCACATCAGTCCACTTATCGCTTGCAACCCTCTGTGGAGGGGCCTGTTTTTCCCTCCAAAATGCATGGCCCCTATTGTTGAGCGTGAAGACCTCAATCAGCTGATGAATATGGCCATCTGAAGCAATCTTATCAATCCTTCGAAGCACCTTGTGCTCGCCTTTGCTAGAACTCTGTCCAAACAAGTAAGAGGCACCTTCTCCTTTCCTGTCTGAGAAGCAATAAATAGTTCCAGTAGCTGGGCTCAGCAATCTGCTGTTGAAGATTCTTATATTATTGAAATGAACAAGATCTTTGGCCATGCTGACAACCCAGTCGCCATACCTCTTAGGCACCTTCTTAAGGCTGTGCCCGGACAGATCCATGATTTCCACAAGGCTGTCATTTTTCTAGTTATTCCTATAGGCAGCAATGAGAAGCGGTCCCGGGTGGCGTGTGGCGTGGGCTGAGGCAAACTGCGGATCGGAGAGGAGGGCCCGCCACGGCCGGCACACGGCGTGCAGGCGGCAGAGATGCTTGGCCAGGAGGCGCAGCAGGATCTCGTAAATAGTGTCCAGTGGAAGAGTGCCTGTGTTGGATGCGGCCAGAGAGGGCATCACGTGCCTGTCCAGGCCAGAGCGCATCTCGGACGACGACGCCATCTCTGTCTGAGACCAAAAATGAAATGGGAAAATTAGATCTGTACCATTAAAAGATCTGAAGTTTAGAAAAATAGCATTGAAAGATCCAGCTTTAGAAAAATAGCATCAAAAGATCACTCCATTACCTATTTCTACCATATCTGTTAACTGTCCGTTAAAGTTGAGACAAGAAAAAAAAAGTACCCAGACTCATGCACACACCCAGCCATCCAGCCAACTCAGAAATCGCACACCCCCCAGTGTTCTACTGATCCCTTTATTAGATATCTAATATATGTCTTTAATAGTTATATATCCTCTCCTAATTCAGCTTTAGCCCAAACATTACGTGTACTTGATGGATGGCCAGTTACATACAGCCCGAAAGGTCACGAGTTGAATGCCAACCGTCGCAGCTGTTCATCTTCTTCGACTCTTCGTCTTTGCGCTCCATGAGTCAGCGTCCAGCGTCTCTACGCGACACGATTGCGCCTCCGCCCACTTGCCCGAGGCTGGAGATGGGACAGACGCTGTGCACCGGCTGTGCGGCCCCTGCGCGGCTGCGCCCCTGCCGACCTGCCGCTGCTCAGTTGCCGCCTGCCGCCTCTGCCGCATCGCACATTCGCAGGCTGGTAAGGTGCTACTCGCTACTCCCTTATTATTTTAGTATTGTTGTCCGTCCTCTTAGCTAATCAATAATTATTATCTAAATAAATTTCCTTTCTTGTCTTAGATAATATGAAGAAGAGAAAGACCATTTGTAGTTGCAGAGCTATAATCAATCAATAATAATTATTAAAGCCTATGATTTTGCTGCTAGTCCTAAGCTAAATTTAAGTTAATAGATATATAATTTTGTTTTGGTTAAGATTTGTGAAACATGTTATTATCTAATGTACTGCCACGACAATTCACTGTCGCCCCCTCTCCTCCTTTCGGTAGCTGACACACTTCTCTCTGTTGTTAGACGTTCATACGTTACCACCCCGCGTGCCTCCCGTCCGCTGTCACCTCCCCGCGTCTGAGGTCCGATGCTCCCCGAACAGGGCCAGTACGGGGCACATGGATCTCTCATGTCTTTCATGTGTCGTCCCGTCGGGATCCCATGCGCTTGCACAGCTTGAGCCACGAAGCGTTCAACAGGACATTGAGCCGGCACACCCTCACATGGGCTATTGGGGCCTTTGCGTTCCAGACTTCCGAGATCGAGCCAGAGGTGCCGGGGCGGCATGCTACTACAAGAGCACAAATGAGTGTTTCATTGTATTATAGCATCATTGCTCCGCATGGCCTGTGATTCTTTCACTTGCTTATTACCGTTAGGTCATTAATTACCACTGCCTTTTGCAGATCCTTTTTTCTCCCATGCTCATGCACCACTGTTATGTGCAGAAGAGAAAGTTGTTTGTCATCTCAGATCAGAGGCAAAGTTTGAGTTGGTATGTCTTTATCTGCTTAGGTCCACAAGTGTTTTCCTATATTCTAAAATTTCTATTTTCATTACTATCCAAGTTCCAACTTCAAACTGAATGTTGCTGAAGTTTTACCTGTTTCAGGTGTCAAAACCTCATCCCACCCTTCCGTACAACAGCAATTTTTGGCCAATTATTTTGAGTGCCTAAAGCTCTATAGTTCTCTATATCTAATAGCAATATGTAAGATACATAACACACTTTCATCTAGCTTGCTTTGCTTCTTATCATTGGACTGTAAACTTCGAACCTCTTTCTAGAAACAGATGACAAATTTTCAGAAAGATTTTCAGATTGTAGTTGAAAAAGGATAACAATGCATCCTTCAGGCATCTAAAGTAAACTTTTAACCTCAAGATGGGCTGCATGTATATTGACTGAGACCTGAGGTTTGAAGGGCTCTCAGCAAAGACATGTCTTCTTATTTCTTTTTGTTTCCACCAGTTATTTCCTTTTCATTACACTTGCTCTTTTCCTCAGCAAATGCATATGGACTTTCTTCCAGTTTCTGTTTATTATTAATTTAAGCCTACCGCCTACCCTTATTTCTGTGAAGGATCTCGCAAGCACAAAGCGCATCTCCTACCCCTGAAATGTTAGCAGGCTAATATATGGTGCGTTGACATTTTAGGCAATGTCTCATATTGCAGCCTATTTATGGTATAAACTATAGTATGCATTCTTAGAAATTCCCGCAACAACGCGCGGGGCATTATCTAGTTTCATATGTGACTAAAACCAGTCGTCATGGTTATGGGTTCCACTTTACTCTCCATTGCCCCCCCCCCCCCATACTCAAATCCTGGCTCCGCCCCTACACCAGCAGCCCCAACACACACATGCAGCCCACCTCACGCGCACACACACCGTGCCCACCTCGCGCACACGCATGACGCATCCAACAGAAGAAGACCGGACGATTCTGGTGACCGGCGGCCAGCAGCAGATCTCTCGGCAGCGTCTCCCCAGCTGGTACTGCAGCTCCTCGGGCCTCCATGGTGCACGCCTCCTCCACCCCTTCTCTTTATCTCTTGTTTCCATCTCCCTGAGCTATCGTTTCTTGAGTATGAACCCTAGTTTCCATCTCCCCGAGCTATCGTTTCTTGAGTATGGTTACCTATTGCTGTCCAATTGTTTCTCAGCTCCAGTTAATGGAGAGTCAACAGATATGGTAGAAATAGATAACAGAGTGATCTTTTTTATGCTGTTTTTCTAAAGCTAGATCTTTTCGATGCTATTTTTCTAAACTTCGGACTTAATGGTAGAGATCCAATTTTCGTTTAGGGGATTATTTCTTGAGGCTTTTACCTGTGTGCCATTATAAAAGTTATTAATTACCCATAGACCACTAAAAAGTTTGAACGGTCATAGGTGCCACTGGTCTAAACTTTTTTGTCCTCTTAGCCATTCCGTCCGATTTCGTCGATAACGGTGTCAAACAGGTGGATGAAATGACCATGTTGCCCCTAATTCAGTTGGATTTCTAATTTTTTAGTTTTCTCCTGTGCCATTCTCTCGTCCTGCGATGCTAGCCTAGCCTCTTGTGCTCTGGCGCGTGTGACCGGGCTGGACGAGGTGCGTGCGACCGGGCTGGACGAGGCGCCGATGGGCGGGCTCACCGCGCAGGCGCGTGTGGCCGCGGACGCCAATGCCCAGACGGAGCGCGAGACGGACAAGACCACGCTGCGCAAGTCCTCGCGGTTCGCCACGCGTCCTTCCTCGCAAGTGCTATGATAGTCAAATTAAGCTGGCGACCCATCGGTTTGTCCCAAGCAGGATGCAACAGCAAGGCTGGGCACGGACAAGGAGGTGGAGCGGGAAGACGCGGCGCGGAGGTGTGTCCATCGCCGCCGCCGCGCAGCAGAACCGCGGCCGGCAGTCGCTGCTAGCTAGGCCGCTTGGAACGCACGTCGACGATCCTACCGACCGATGACGACACACTGCACGCCTGTTGCTGATTGCAGTGCAAGTTTTGTTTGCAAATGTGTTGTAGAACATGTATCATGTATGCATATGTACAGCCTACGGGCCCCACCGAGCCGAGATGAGCGCGCGTCCGTCCAGCCCTCCGGCGCGGGCCATCAGGTCCACCATGCAGCCATAGCATAGCTGCGCGTTGGGCGTGACCTTGTACTCAAAGAAAGATGAGGTCGAAGCACCGCAGCCCGTCCCCGTCGAAAGCAGCCCGTAGCGGCTGCAGGTCAAGACACGACGACGCACGCGACCGAGAGCACACACATCGTCGCGCGCGAAAGGCGAGCCCAGGCTTGCATGATCAAGGCCCAACTTGATGTCGGGCGGCGTGGCGCGTTCTCGACCTTGTCCACGCCCGTGGCCGAGCGCCGCGCCCGGCAGAAAGGGCCACGGAGAGAGATAGGGTTAGGAGAGAGACAACCACCGGGGTTAATCTGGACAGTTTCGTTAGCCGGTCCCACCTGTCAAGGCATCCAAACCGTGAAACCAAACAAAACGGAGACAGAATGGCGTGGAGGGCTAGACCAGTGACCGCTCAAACTTTTTAGCGGTCAGTGAGTAATTACTAACTTTTATAAGAGCATCTCCAAGAGTTCCCTAAACATCCACCTAATCCTTGTTTTTTAGAAAGATGGGGAAAAACCCTCTCCAACAACTTATAATATTTACTCCTAATTTTTTAGGACTTGGAAAATTCCTCCCCCTTCCGCGTAACTTTACGCGACGGAAATACACTTCGGAGACGCCTCGGCTCGACGTAAGAAGTCGTACGGCATCTGCTGCGGCTCCCCTTGGACCGCGGGGACCGACCTTCAACATCATCTCCCAAGACGTCCATGTCGACGCCGCATCTCAATGTAACATCGCAGCCTTCATCAAGAGCAAGCACCACGATTGGTCGCCGGCAGAGATCGGTCGACGATAATGACCACCGCCGACGTCACGGATCGTGCGGCCATCCTCAACGAAAGCAAAGCGCGTGGCGTCGGACTTGTTCGCCACCGGTGCCGCCACGTCAACCCGGAGAAGGCGGCATACGGCACGGTGTCACGACATCGCGCTTCGGCGACTCACGTCGGCTTCTCTGCGGCCTGTACAGTAGCCAAAACGCGTCTCCGTGGTAAGCGCGGCGGACGGTCGACTGCTCGGCCGTCACGGTGATCCCGGAGAGCATGCTGAATTCCCGTCGGTGTCGGTCGTCGTCCAGCCAACGTGGAATTGGAGCACGCCTGTGGTAGTTGAGCGTACGGTGAAGAACGTCGGAGAGGAGGTGTCGTCGGTTTACTACATGGCGGTTGA